TGACGTTGATGATCGTAAGAGCACTAGCGGAATGATCTACTTTCTCTCAGGCGGCGCAATCTGCTGGCAATCAACAAAACAGAAGGTAGTTGCTTTGTCTTCCTGTGAAGCAGAATACATCGCCGCTTCGATGGCAGCAACACAAGGGATCTGGCTTGCGCGACTAATGGAAGAACTCATCGGGAGAGAAAGTGATCCACCAATGCTATACGTAGACAACAAAGCTACGATCTCCCTGATCAAAAATCCAGTTTTGCATGAACGAAGCAAGCACATAGAAATCAGATTCCACTACATTCGAGAATGTGCAGATCGAGGGCTCATCAAAATTGATTACATCCGAACAGAGGAACAACTTGGAGACATCTTCACCAAGTCCCTGGCGTGGGTGAAATTTGAAGAACTACGCTCAAAGATCGGAGTTCAAATAGTAAGGTAGATATACTACAGGTTTTAGGAGGAGATTGTTAGATAAAACCTGAGTTTTACCGTTTTTCTTATTCACACGATTTCAGAAAATCGTGAGTTTGACCATTTGACAAATCACGTCGAATGGATCACCAGAGTTTTAGAAGGGAGTGGCACAGATTTAGTTGGCCACTCTCCAGCCAATTTTAGAATTCTTTTTTACTTTAAATAGGAAGATTTGTTCACAAAATACAACAACCTGAACGCAGTCAAATTCAGAGTTATTTTTTTCTCTCTCCTTTTTGTTACGCATTTTCCCAATTTCCTCTCACCGAAATTCTGTGAAAACCAACACTTCCCATGTGTTGTTGTGATGGATCGCTTCAATCTCTTCATCCATGGTAGTTTGCCCTTCGTATCTCGCACCGCCTTTTCAAAGCTGATATTTTCAGCATCTGCCAAAAGACATACAAGGTATACCTCATCTGTTGAGTCATATAAATCTCGCAAACTTCGCATTTTGTGTTGTTGTGGTTCATCTTCATCATCGGAAATTTCTGAGTCTGTTGGTGCACTTGTTGATGCAGTGACTGATGATTCTCCAACTTCGATATTGACTTCCATTGAATTGTTCCAGTCCCATTCGCTTGTTTTATTTACTCAAACATCACGACTCACTATCACCATCTTGTTGATCGGGTCAAATAGTTTGTATCCTTTTTTCTTCTCATCATATCCAATAAAAATATACCTTTTGCTTTTGTCTTCGAGCTTCGTTCTTTGTTGATCCGGTATGTGAGCATAAGCCACACTACCAAACACCTTGAGATGAGAAATTGTAGGCTTTTGTCCGCTCTAAGCCTCTTGTGGTGTTTGATCATCTAACTTTGCATGTGGACATTGATTCTATACGTAGAAGGCGCATTGCACAGCTTCTGCCGAAAATTCCTTCAGCATCCTTTTGCTCTTAAGCATTAAACGAACCATGTCGAGAATGGTTCGGTTCTTTCTCTCGGCCACACCATTTTGTTGAGGGTTGTATGGTGTGGTTAGAAATCGCCTTATGTCTTGCTCCTCGCAGTACTCCATGAAAGCCGCCGACATATACTCGCCACCTCTATCGGATCATACAACTTTGATGTGTCTACCAGTTTCCTTCTCCACCCTTACTTCGAACTTTTTAAATACCTCAAGCGCCTCGAATTTTTCTTTCAGAAAATAAGCCCAAGTTTTTCGTGAGTAATCATCGACAAAGGAAATAAAATACCTCTTTCCGCTGAAAGACTAAGGGTTAATTGGTCCACATATATTTGTATGGATCAACTCGAGGGGTTATTTAGCCCAAAATTCAGCCTTCTTTTGAATTAGTTGCCCTTGCAATCTTCTCAAAGCCCGACTCGTTAA